GTTATCTCAGATTCTCCAGCATCTGCAGTTCCTACTATCCCTCAACCTGGGACTGCCTGTTCTCGCTGCCACTGCAGATGCCGGACACCTCACTTCCACATCAAGCAGATGTTCACCTGCACATCTGCTAATGTGGTATACTATATCCGCTGTTCCCGTTGTGTTCTCCTCTACATCAGGGAAACCAGGCAGAGGCTTGGGGACCGCTTTGCGGAACACCTATGCTCGGTTCGCACTAAACAGCTGCACCTCCCAGTCGCGAACCATTTCAACTCCCCCTCCCATTCCTTAGAACACATGTCCATCCTGGGCCTCCTGCAGTGCCACAACGATGCCACCCGAAGGTTGCAGGAACAGGAACTCATATTTTGCTTGGGAATCCTGCAGCCCAACGGTATCAATGTGGAGATAACAAGGTGTAGAGCTGGATGAGCACAGCAGGCCAAGCAGCATCAGAGGAACATGTGGTCTTCACAAGCTTCAAAATCTCCCCTCCCCCTACCGCATCCCAAAACCAGTCCAGCTCATCCCCGCCTCCCTAACCTGTCTTTCCTCCCACCTATCCCCTCCTTCCACCTCAAGCCCCACCTCCATCTCCTACCTACTAACCTCATCCCGCCCCCTTGACCTGTCCGTCCTCCCTGGACTGACTTATCCCCTCCCTAACTCCCCACCTACACTCACTTTTACTGGCTCCATCCCCGCCTCTTTGACCTGTCTGTCTCCTCTCCACCTACCTTCTCCTCTATCCATCTTCTATCCGCCTCCCCCTCTCTCCTTATTTATTTCAGAAATCCCTTCCCCTCCCCCATTTCTGAAGAAGGGTCTAGGCCCGAAACGTCAGCCTTCCTGCTCCTCTGATGCTGCTTGGCCTGCTGTGTTCATCCAGCTCTGCACCTTGTTACCTCACTCTCCACCATGTTGGGTTTGCTTGCTCCACAGTGAGCACTGAGCTCATCCTCCTCCGCGCTTCACAAACTCCCTCTCCACCGAAGGTAAGTAGATTAAAGTGAGAATAAAAAAAAGTGAGAGAAGAGAAAAAGAAGTAAAAGCAGACGGAGCCTGCTGTGCTGCTACGCCATCGCCATCTTCAGGCCAGAGCACTCTGATTGCTTATGAGAGGTCCCAAGGTCATCCTGGCTTAACTTTTTCTCAAAATCATAAGAAGTAAACCAGTGCAAACTCCCGGCCTCAAAGTGAAGCCCAATGTAGTCTTCATCTGATCCGTCTTCTTTATTTTCTTTCTCTGCTTTAGAAGGACCGTAATGCTGAACTTTTAACTTTATTTCTTTATTTTTCTAATTTATACCTAAGATTATGTACCTAAGATGGTGCCAGAAATGGCAGCTTTGTACACTTTTCATTGTACTCTTGTACTTCAGTGTGTGACAATAAAATCTAATTCTAATGATGTTAGTTTACTCCACATTTCACCAATGAGAAGCTTTCCAGCTGCAAAATTGAATATGTTTCGCATGCATATTACTGGCACTCCAAATTTTTGTTATAATCAGATGCCTAAAGGCAAAGAGAGAACGTGGAGTGGTGCACAATTCCAGTTCTGACTTGAGGAATGACATGTTGTTGACGAAGTCTCAGTGAGGTTAACTGAACTATTCTGTGGAATGCAAATATCAGAAATTTGGGCAGGTTGTACTGTGAATCTGTAAACAGAAACGACCTTTCTTTTCAGTTAATTTAAGTGGGCAATCTGTTCAAATATTTTAAACATTGGAGATGTTAAATGATTCAATATGGTTTTGATGATACTTTTCATTAACCACATGTAGAGAGCAATGAAAGAACTATGAATGACAAAGAAGCCTGTGTTCATGTTACTCAGATTTTACTCCCCCATTAAACTCTGCAGTTCCTTATTAAATGGCCAGAGCATTCTAATTGCTTATGTGATGTCCCAAGGTCATCTGGCTTAACTTGTTCTTAAAATCACAAGCGGTAAACCAGTGTGGACACCCGGGTTTGAGGCAAAGCCCAGCGCGGGCCCAAATTGAAGCCCAGTGTGTCTGCTCCATCTACTTTTATCTTTTTTCTCTCTTTCTCTGCTTTAAAAGGATTGTAAGGCTGAACTTTTAACTTTATTTCTTTATTTTTCTGATTTATACCCAAAATTTTCTACCTAGGCATCTATATACCTAAGATGACACTGAAAATGGCATCTTTAAACACTTCTCACTGTACTCCTGTTCCCCTCTACTGAGTACGTGTGACAATAAAACCTAATCCTAATTCTAGCAAAGAAAATTTCTTACTATAGTTTCAGAGATACTTCCACTCACTCTTAGTTCAACATCAGCAATTATTTAGAGCTCTGGCCACAGGAATAAGTTACATCAGGGACACCAAAAGAAGTTTAGTACAATGAACGAAATGAAATACGAAATTTACCATTCAGGATTTATTCCCCTTAACAAAAACAGAAATTGCCCGAAAAGATCAGCAGGTCTGGCAGATCTGAGGAAAGGTCACCGGACCATAAATGTTAACTCTGATTTCTCTTCACAGGTGCTGCCAGACCTGCTGGGCTTTTCCAGCAATTTCTGTTTTTATTTTTGATTTACGGCATCCACAGTTTTTTCAGATTTTATTCCCGTATAAGGTCAGTTAAGTTTTAATTATATGCAACTAAAATTAGGTTTGAGGATCAATTTCTCTTTATCTTGTACTACTGATTGTCCACAATCTTCATTTCTTTGTTACTTGCTGCAAATATAAGGTTAGCTCTAAGTACCAATATGAGACTAAGATAAAAGCTTTCAACAAATGTGTAAAAATATGATAAAATAGTAATAATTAGATGTTGAGTATCCAATTGCCAGGAAGATATTTGCAATGGTCAATGTCCCAAACAAATATATTGGCTAAACAATACATTCAACTACTGTTCACACAAAAATTAAATGTAAAGGATCCAAGTTAGCTATGTCAGAGCAGCCAAAATGTTTGTTTTACATTATAATGCTGAGTTCAGGTCTCAAAAAAATGGCTGAAACACAGCCTATTAACAATTTGGAGTCATAAATACTAATTTGTAGTAATAGAATGCAGGTCTCTGTTCCACTAACTAGGAAGGTGACCAGGTTCTCATACAGAAGCATCTAGAATATGCAAAGCAGGATAGATTTAATAGCTGAATACTGAGTAGAAGTGAAAGTAGCATAAACAGTATTGGAAGACAGACATACAAAATACTTTCTTTCAAAATTACTACTCTGAAGGAAAGAGAACCCAGACAATTGTAAATAAGCTACTAAATTAAGTTTATTGAAAAAAAGAAATAGAAAATAGGTAACACACAACACAGAAAAGATGTCCACATCAAAACAGCCTTCAATACTGTAAATAATCTCAAACGTATAAATATTTTCAGGTCTTATAAAAATGAACTCTGGTAATGAAAAGCAGATATTGAAAAACTTTACTTACAATTATCTTTAACTTTTTACTTTTTAAACTTTAAAACATTTCTTTTCATGAATGCTTGCACCAGTGTTTTCAGTGTTTAGATTGATATTCCAACAAGGTAACAATGATTCAATTTCAGCCATGCATACAAATTATGCTTAATAAAGTACTCTAAGCTCACAGCATAAATAAGTCACTAAGCTGGTTATACTAATATTTGTATTGCTTAGAACTGCTGTGGAAAACAATATTCAATTCACTAAGTTAATACAATTGGTTGCTTTAAAAATGTTTAAAAGCTTTATGCGCTCAGATTTAATTACTATCGTATGACCAGTGATCAAAATCCATTGTCATATTGATTTTTTTTCCCTTTCTGACACAAGTTGATTTGGAAGAATTCTGCTTGGCTTGCATATCTATCTGAATCCCAGACTGCATGACAGGTCCTGCTAGGTTCATAGACAGGATATTGCCAAAACCACTCATCATTTTCTGCAGACTTTCGTTCATGCCATCTACCTCCCCGTTACTGGTAGCTGTGATCTGACATGACATCTCTGTACTGTTTGACTCCTCTGTCTTAGACTCATAGAAAGACTCTTCAGAAAACCTTGCAGTAAGAGGTAAGAAAGGCTAAGTAAAAAGAGGAGAGAAAGAGCACAGATGAACATAACAGCAAAAAAAGTTAAATATCAGCATTGGAGAATATTTAGAAAAAGCACAAAATTGATTTTTTTAAAGTTTGTGATTACTCACCATACATGCAACAGTTCTTACTCTTCCAATAATAATGTCCTCCTCCACATTTAATGGGTAATACTACAAGCCAGCCAACTTAATTGGGAGAGCTTTTGTGACCACTGGGTATGATGGTGATTAAATGAGAGTCCTTACATTTACTAAAATCCTCTCTAGATAATGTTGAAGAACCAACATGTACATTGTCATTATTTGTGATAGTCTGGGACTTGTACAATTTGTGAAACTAAGGCTTTGTATGGTTGAATCTTTTCAATTGCTAAAGTGACATAAAGCTAAAAATGTTTTATCAAATGCTGCGGCCAGTGGTTGAATAGGGGCAAAATTACTTTTCATCATTTGCAGGAATATCACATCATGGAGTGATGGAGTTGGAAGAAAATGTGAAGAAATTGAAGTGATATCTCCATAAAGCATAGGAAACAGAAGGTTTCCAGAGCTTGAATGTCAATAGTTTGCCCCATATTTGCTGGTAAAAAAGATTATCCATCATATATGCAGGAGAACATATGAAGTGTTATCACATTTTTTACGTGTGTAATAAATAATTTTTGAAGCGTAGTTAAAATGTGAATAATAGTTGTAGCATTAAAAAAATATCATAGGTAATGATATGGCTGTGAATACTCACAGGAGCACTGGACTGCTCCACCAACTTTTGCTCCCACATTTTCAAACGTCTTTCTCGTTCCTTCAACTCCTGTTCCTTTGTGCTCAGATCTCGTTCCAGTTTCTTTAGTCTTTCTAAAGTGGCCTCTATCTCACATCTGTAGGAACCAATCACAGCACTTGCTAATGAGAACAAATTGTTTTGGATTCCTACTTAAATCCTAATTAAATTTCACTGACTTTCTAGATAATCAGAACAAATACTGGGTTGATGCCACAATATTTTGAATTACACAAGTGCTAAATATTTATAAATATGTAAACATTTTTTTAAAATGGCACCATGGTTTATATTGAAACAGGCTAGTAACAGCAACTTTGCGTGGAGGTTTTCCCAGTGTCACTGTTGGATGATTACCATAATTGGGACTGGTAGTCTGTATTGGCCATAATCCCCCAGCCTTCTCATGGTATTATTGTGAACTCCACACACAACCACCTCAGGCTATTTCTAAACAAGAATTTTAAAGCACAAAGTGGTGAACAAGGATAAGCAAATCAATGTACATCACTTAAGGATACATGGTAATTCATCACAATACATATTTCCTTTAAACAAAGAAGTATACCTACAAATATGTAAATTTATGGCCCAAACAGTTCAGTTGCTTCTATAAATTTTGTGGGCAATTCCATATTTTGCACAACGCATTTCTTTATTTTGCTATCCTATTTTGCCCATTATCCACCTTTTAGCAAAAGTATTTTCCAGTGTTTTACTGAAAAAGCGTTGTTTTTAAAACATATATATTGCTGAACAACACACCCAGCAGCCCACTCCCCAAAGCTTCCATGCTCCACAATTGTCATTTCTGCTATCACATTTCAGGTAAACTCTACCGCTTGTACCATTTCTTGCATAACGTCTACTTTCAGGCATTGTTTTATGGATGAAGACTTTAGTAAAGCTGCACTTAGTCTTTGCAGACTTGTTTGTGCTGAGTCAAGTCTATCCAAAACTGGCAAATTCTCTGACAGCAGGGGAAAATGAAGTCACCACTGGGGACATTTGAATCTATCCTTCTCCCCCTTTTATCTATCAAACTGGTTCTTTAGACCGTCTCAAAGGTCCCTGTTGCACTTTTAATGTAGCATCTCCAGGAACCGTGGTCTATGGCTGATGTTTTCCACAGTGGGTCAATGTGTCACACAGGAAGAGACTTCAGCAATTCCTCAAATTTTTTGCCTGGAGCCCTTCTGTTCCATTTACCAGTGGACAGTTCTCCAAACAACACTCTTGGGTAGGCAACTATTGTTTATCTAGACAAATGTGACACCCTGCCACCATCTTCCACCCACCCAACACGGCTGGTCTTGCAGGAGGATAGCCTCAATACTGGTGATTTTGGCTGCTTCCAGGACTTCAATGTTAATGATGTGACCCTGCCAGCAGACCCTGAGGATGTCACAGAGGCAGCATTAATGGAAGCGCTCTAAAAGGTATACAAGCCAGTCATAAAGGGCCCATGACTCAGCATCACTGCAGGTCTGACTGCTGTGGGTCAAGAGAACACAGGCATCAGCGAAAAAAAATTCACGCATGAGTTCCTCTCGTGTATTCATGTGAGCCTAAAGATGCCAGGGATTGAAAAGATATCCATCAGTCTGGAAGCAGGTGTGAACTATCACCTTAATTCTTCTCTTGCCTTCTATGGTGGCATGCTAAAGATGATGATGAATAGGGCTTGGGCTGGTACACATCTCTGTTTTTCACCACTGTAGATTTGGAAGGGATTCGAGAAGTCGCTGTCATATTTGTTTATAATGATTTTCATGAAGCTGCTGCATCATAGCCAGGAACTTGGGCAGGCATCTGTTTTTCAAAGATTTTCCAAAGTTTAGCTCTGCTTACATTGTTTATTGTGTTGGTGAGATGTAAAGAAGTGGCATATAGGCCCTTTGTTTCACTCAGAACATACCTCTTGTATTTGTCTGAGCAGTGTCTTAGGGTTCCTCTGTTGCTGGTGAACCTGCACTCGCTCTCTGGGAGGCTTCTTTCTGCTGTTCAGAAGTATTCCAGCCAGGATCTTCCCAGCAACAAAAAGGGGGATGATCCCACAGTTGTTACAGCAACCTGACCTTTCTGTTTTTTGTTTGTACACAATGATGATAATGGCATAACGAAGATTCTGTAGGATACTGCCCTGCTCCCAGCAGGCCATGGAAACCTCACTGAGCTTGATATATAGGGTACTGTCACCATGCTTCAAGGCTTCAGGTGGAATTCTGTTGACTCCAGAGTTTTGTTGCTCTTCATCTGTTTGATAACTGTCACAGTTCTCTCTCGAGTGCCAGCACATCAAGGTTTCTGAAGAAGGGTCCAGACCTGAAACATCAGCTTTCCTGCTCCTCTGATGCTGCCTGGCCTGCTGTGTTCATCCAGTTTTACACCCTGTTATCTTAGCACATCAAGGTTGTTGTTGGATGCAGTCGATGGCAGTCTCATGTACTGTGTACTTGGTGCTGAAGGACATGTCAAAGTGCCCTGACAAGCAAACCAGAACTGACTTCTCATCTTCCCGCCAGTGCTCCTCAGGGGGTTTTGGGTTTGATATGCTGGTGCATCAATTTCAGTGCTCCATAGAAGCTTCTTACATTACCAGTAACAGTGTGCCATTGAGTTTTTTTCCACAATATGATCCACCAGTCATTTTGGAAGTTCCTCCATTTACCCTGAAGTGTGCTGTGTGTTGGATGGCTGACTGTCAATTCCTCTCAGTTGGCTGGCTGAACCATGTGAGCCTGATCAGCTGACCTTTTCATTGATCACAGGTCTTGGATTTCGTTGTCATTTTCATCAAACTGATCCCTATTCTCCCTGGTGCTGATTCTGATGACCTCATTGGAAGTAACCAATAGTGTAGCTTTGATATGTTCTCAAAGTTAGTCCATAGTGGAAACAACAGTGGGATCAGAGTGTTCCAGTCTGGCCTGTAGGTTGCTCGACATGTATCTCTGCAAGATGACATTTGCAGGTTGGTGACTCAAACTTTTGAGTTCTCACTAGGTCTGTTCTTGGACTTAGGCATTCTGGATGAGCTCACAGAGATCTGTGTTGAACTTATCTTTGTGTAAACTGCACTTCACTTCTCATAACCTCCCAATGCCATAGTCTATCACCTCTCTCCCATTCTTTTCAGTATTTACAACTTATATTTAGATAGTTGAGTACTTGCATACTATCTGAAAATTAACATTATAAGGGACAAGATGATTAAGCACTTGTTGTAATAAATATTTTGAATTTTGTTTGGCTTTCATAAAATCTTAACAGAAATTCCTTAACATCATTGTTCACTGCCAGAATACAGCAGCTGACTTGTGAGGCCATCTGAGAGTAGTGTGTGTGACATCCATGTTAGGAAATAGATTGCCATCTCTCATAGCAGGCAAGTGTTTCTGATTCATTAATATTGATGTAAATATCTAAAAATATTGATGTCTTTTCATTTGACCTGTCACGACTGTAATTTGAAACTAATAACAGAACCTTGCCAAACCTGTTTTACACATTTTCTAAAGTTCTACAGTTTTCATTGGCGTTTTTTTTGAAAAGATATACCACAACATTGATTTCTAATTGCTCTTTTTTTTGTTTTATGACATCTGTATACTTTGAGTTTTATGCTTTAACAAACTGGAAATTCAAGTTGGCCCATTTTAAATACTGTCCATATGTACTCAGTGCTGAAGTTAACTGTAGCACTTGTGCAGCTGTGCCAGCTGAGATCAGCTATCTCCATACAAATCAAAGACTGAAGTTAAAGAGTCTCTTGATTTTCGTAGCTTAGTACCATACCAGACAGTGCATTATTTATTAAGTTGAGAGAATAGATTCCTACATCTTTCAAATCCGAATGAACTGTATATTCCCAAGAATTTAAAGCTGAATTATTTTCCTATATGCTGTTGGTGTAAAGTATATTACTTAGTGTGGTGAAAATTATAAAAAGGAAATTAATTAAAAGTATATTCTGCTGGCATGCCAGTGATCTCAATAGAATTAAATAATGTGTTTTCAGAACACATGCATGGTATGAGGTAACTGCAATTTGTCACCTAACGATTACGTCCTGCAGGCTGCTGTACTGATAAAATATCACAAATTTCTTACAAATTGTTCGTAGTCTATTCTTTAATATTTAAAAAAATTATGCATCAGGCTTGTACAGCCTACAATTTTCACAGTTAAGTATCAAATTATCTCCTATTAAACATATTCCTTACATGGGGATTACTGTAATGGTTTATCTTGCAGCCAGTACTATTTTATGCATCTCACTCAACCAAGTAGATAATATCCACTGTCTAACCCTCAATCATGTTTGTCACTTTCTCAAAAAATCCAATTAAATTTCTGAGACAAGACCTTCCCTGCACATAGCTATGCTATTCCTAAAAAAGTCCATCCATTATGTTCCAAACGTGAGTAAATCCTGTCCCTAAGAATCTTCTCCAATAATTTCCCTGCCACTGATGTAAGTCTACCTTGCCTATAATTTTCTGGATTATCCCTGTTGCTCTTCTTAAACAAAGGAACAACATTGGTTATACTCCACTCTTCTGGGACCTTGCCAGTGGCTAAAGAGGATACAAAGATCTCTGTAAAGGCCTCAGCAATTTCCTCCTTTGCCTCCCTCAGTATCATTAGATAGATCCCCTCAGGCCCTGGGGACTTATCTGCCTTAATATTTTTCAAGACACCTAATACCTCCCCTTTAATATTGATATATCCTACGATATCAACATACCCCTCCCTAATCTTTTCATCCATGTCCTTCTCCTTGGTGAATACCAATGTGAATTATGCATTAAGGACCTCTTCCACTTCCTCTGGCCGCATGTATAAATCCTTTCCTTTGTCAATGAGTGGACCTAACCTTTCCTTAGCTACCCTCTTGCTCCTTTATATATGTATAAAATGTTTTGGGATTTTTCTTAATCCTACTTATCAAGTAATTTCATGGACCCTTTTAGCCTTCCTAATTCCTTGTTAATGTTCTTTCCTGCTTCTTTACATTCCTCAAGGGTTAAACCTTACATATACTTCCTTTCTCTTTTGAACCAATCTTTCAATATCTCTTGTCATCTAGGGTTC